CAACATCTCGAACCTGTTGTTGTGCTCCTCAAACCATTCCTAAACCATTTTTGCTTTGTGGCAGGGCTCAATATCCTGCTGAAAGAGTCCACAGCCATCAGAGAATACAGTTTCCTTGAAAAGATGTACATGGTCTGCAACAATGCTTATAAGTGGTGCACATCAAACTAACATCTAAATGGACGGCAGGACCCAAGGTTTCCTAGCCGAGTAAAGCATCACATTGCCTCCATTGGCTTTCCTTATTCACAATGTGCATTCTGGTTCCAGGTGTCCTCCAGCTAAATGACCCACACACACCAAGCCAGGCAAGTGAAGGTAAAGGTGATTCATTAGACCCATCTAAACTTTCTTTAGATGAAACCCTCTTGGGAAAATGAACTGCTTATCTTTGTGCTAGACATTTACTTGACTCTTACCACTGTCATTGTTATGATTCTGGTGTGATTGGGCTTATGCAGCATGCAGAATGGTCAAACACAACATGGTCACAAATATTACCTGTAAGATCCATCGTTCGGTCTACAAAGATGATTGATGCTTTATTAGGGGCTGTCTTCCTTCGGTTTTTTGCTTGAGGAAGATTGGCGAGTTCCCCTGCTATGATGCGGCTCATTGGACCCAGAGCAAAACTCTCCTCTCTCGTACCTGTAGCCTCAAACATTGAATTTAACGCTGAAGCTAAGGATTTGACTTCAATTTGCAGTTCAGCAGGGAGACAGTGCATGTCTATATCATTCAGGCTTGCAAATCTTCTCTTCTCTGGTCGTTTTTCATTGATGGCCTCCAGGTCTGGCGAGAGAAGAGGGAACAGGTGCGCAAACGGGGGTGCAACTATCAACTGCTGTGACACAGGGGCGAAGACAACTGGAACATGCATGACCTCCGCCGTGTAGTTCATATTTCCCATCCACTCGCACAATTTCTCTTCAAACTGCTCAAACACAGGGCTTCCTTCTATTTCTGTCGTAACTTTGTTGGCGAGCAGGTGCACGGAGTGAGCAACGGTGGTAAAGACAACGCAGTATTGAAAGTGACTGAGGGATATGATGTCTTTAATAATGTCAACTGTCCTCCCTTTCAACAGTGTGCTCACTACAAACACGGCTTTAGGCTCATTGACACCGCACGCTTCGAAACTCGAAAACTGCTTTAAATTCCTGGCTCCAGCTTCCAATAAGGTGGCAGCTCCTCCACTCCAGTGGAGAGCCTCTGCACATTTGTCATCCATGAAAACAACCGATTTCTTTACCTTCGACAGCACCTTCTCCCACATCAAGAGGGGGAATCGCGTAAACTCCTCAGTCGCCAACATTTTCCTAGTTACGTGTATCAGCTAAATTCACCGAAATCAAAGACACATCAGCAATTTCAGCTTAAGTAGCTCCAACAAAACAAACACACGTCTCTTAAAGGTGACGTGGCGCTAGCCCGTCGCTTCATTAAAACGTCACCTAAACGTCGTTGCTATGACAATAAGCAGTATCCCGAGAACAATCGTTACAGAGTTAATAACGGAAAACTTTTTATGCAATATTCTCACGAAGTATCTAGACTTTCACTACCATAACCAAGAACGACGCGAGCTAAAAGGGGGAGGATCCAGCGGGTAAATTTAGTCTCAAAAATTCTGTTAAACATGTGAAGTTTAATTAGTCTTGATGGATTTTAAGCTAATTGACATTAGTTATGGCGATTTTTTGACACGGGCTTCCTTCATTAAAAAACGAATTTAAATGTCAGTTGGCACAAACAATTAAACCCCTAAAAATGTTTAATGCTTAGAGTTATGAGTTCTTCTTTATATTTGTTTAAATCACTTTCCTCAGCGTTTAACGGAAAAATACCATAGCTAAGTTTAAAGAGGCCAGCTGTTTCTTCTGTTTTCAATAGAGCCACTTTGACTTTAATGTGCCTTTAAGTTCCTTGTTTTAGGAGTATATGACATGAACGCCACAGATGACCGACACGAGATACAAAGGGTTGGACTCTCACCCAGGTGTGTAGCCAGTGCCTTAAATAAATAAGTGTGCAAATTTACAGTTGTGTACAGCCATTGTTCTGGCATTGCGCGTGTATGTATATATGCATATATGTATATAAGGCGTAGTGGTAATAATTACTCGACACTGGACCAGTAAGGGTCCCCACGCTAACCAAGCCGGGGACCCTTTATTATTTGGAATATGTCAAGACAATGTTCTAAATAATAAAACCACTAAAAACTAAAGAAAACAATTCAATACAAAAGAATACAAAATTATTGAAAGTTACAAAGCAATATTAATTTTGTTGTGATAAATTAGAAGGAGTTAGATACTCGTCTCACAGGCCGTAAATTGTAGTGAGCAGTAGACAAATTGAAAATAAACTGTAATGGCATGCTTATTTCCAACAGTATTATACTAATGAAGCGTTCAGGTATAATACAGTTTTCACAGTACGATAATGACATTATAGTTGCACAATGCATGTGACGGCACCTTGTGTGCTGCCCGAAATGTGCAGTCAGTCATGTCGAGCATTAAAAAGAATTTGATGCTCATTAACTTGCTGTCAGGCGAGAAGTATTTGTTTGTGAGCTGGGAAATGGGGATGTTAGCAATCATACAACTGGAGCCCTGATTTTTTTTTTTTTTTTTTTTTTTTTGTATGTTTACGCCAGCCTTTGTGCCTCAGAATAAATGTAGCATAACATGCCAATTACAGTTAGTTACTGTAAAGGATACTAAGGCTTAAACAATGTTGTTTTTTGGGCGGGATAGTTTAGTTGTTTTTGCATTTGGGAATTTGTGATTGAAATCATGCAAGCAATTTAAAGAACAACAGTCTCACTGACGTTGATCAGTGCCTAATGGAAAAAAAATACCCACATTAAAAAACCTGAACGTGAATAGACATGGTTAAATGCCATTTTTCACTTGTACCCATCATGTTTAGTGTTCTTGCAGTAATGTAAAATCATTCTCAAAATTATCTGTGTGAGTGGAAATTCTTTTCTATTTTGATAATTTGATATTATTTTCATCCCTTTCTTTTGTTTATGGGACAATTTGAAAGCTGTCCAAGATGATAATGCCAGTGACAATGATGCTGCTGCATCCATCTTGTGACATATTATTTTGAATTTTTCCAGCTTTTTATTGTGTTTTTGTAGCTGTTAGGTATGTTATGAATGGGCCTTATTTGTCAAAAAACCCCTTCTGTCAAAAATTTGCTTTGAGATATTTTCATAGTGTTTAAGTTAACGCGTTGTGTCATCAGCACTCAACCCAGACAGAAGTGTTTCTTTCTGTTATTTAAAGTTACTAATGATGATGATAGAGATAACAGTGGTGATGATGTGAGGGCCTCCTTATTTCTTGCAGTACATTTATGCATCTTAGGAGGACACAACATGTAGGTGGTGAGTAGTGACAACCCTTTTGAGATTTTTGGACAACACAAATGACAGTGACACATTAAACAAAACAGCCACACAAAGACCAGGCTTTATTGTAAACTTGGTTTAAGAAATAAGAAGACTATAAGACATAAGATATAAGAAATGTCTTATATCAGTTAACTGATATGCATTCAGCTTCCAAAGACACACAGTGACTATATTTCTCCTCAGAGTCAGCCAAGAATTTAAATATAGAATTTTACAGTGAAAACTATCAGCCTATTAGAGAACCCAGTGACCATTTGACATTTAAAAAAGTACACTTTCAGTCATTTTACACACATTCATAATTAGTTCACATATACATTGAGAATGTCAGCTTCATTACTGCAAATCAGCTAACTTAACTCAGATCTTTATGATTTAAAATATTCCTTATTGAAAATAAATGAGAAATGACGATATATGTGACAAATATATGTGACATCATTATGTCTGCATTGGGATGATTTACAGGTACTACAAATGACCTATTGTTAGAAAAAGTCCAAGGAAATGAAGAAATTAAGCAGAAAGTAGAGTTTTTAGAGAAAAAGCCATGGAGAAAAGCTGGTAAGTACTGTTGTTTGACCTGACACGTCAATAAGATTCTTGTATGTATTCAGTAATTACATTCAGACCTATTCATTATCATTTAGTGTTTTTATTTTAGGTGCTAACATCTCAGATTACTTTAACTATGGTTTTGATGAAGAAAGCTGGAATGCTTACTGTAGGAAACAAGCAGAACTTCATGGCATGATAAGAAAGGTAAATGCTAAAGACAGGGTAAGATAATGCTATCACTAATGCGATTTAGTCAGCCTTCTTTTTTAAAGAGACCCTTCACTTAAACAGGAGAACATAGTTAGGAATAATAAATCAGACTGAAACTTGAGAAATTGTTATTCTGCTCAGGCCCAGAAGAGGCACACTGGATATAAAGAAGAGGAGGTGTTTTGTGCTTATTCTTCCCCAGGCAGACCATCTATTGTAGCTTTCAGGTCAGTAATATGTCTTCTCCATACTGTTATGTTTTGTGTCTTCAGTCCTACACCCTCTATCCCATTCTATGCTACTGCTCTGAGCTCAGAGCCAGAAGAAGCTGGCAGCTGGTTTTTTCTGTTTGTTTGTGACACGGCAACTATCTGCCTGATGCCATCTGTTTTCTGTGATCCTAAGATGTGCTCAGCATATTAGGGTTGTTTTGGCAAGGGATTGCAAAATGTTGAGGTAAACACAGACTTATGTTCATCTGTTAAAGCCCAAGGCAAAATTTTATCGAAGGTTAAAGCTTTTTTAAAAAAAATTTTTTAGGCTTTGTGCCTTTTCATTTTCCCCGTATTTATATTTCATACATTTATGATTTATCTGCTAACAACAGTGACACCACTTTCAGCAGAGACTATTTAAACCACTTTTGTTCATTTGAAGATAAGAAGACTTATCTGAACACAAAATAACTGTGGTAACATTCATAGGCCAATTGGAGTCAGGAAAAACCCTGATTAGTATTTCCATATTAGGTTTTTTAATGTAACCCTATGCCAGCAGAAATTAATGCAGATTTTTACTCCAACTTTAACAGCCGCTGTAGTTTTAGTTAAAAATTGTAGTAATTCATTAGAATTTAGTGTAATAGATATATAATTGTAGAACTGATTAGGCGAATAGCGTCTGTGTTTACTGTATACTGTTCTTTTGATACATTAGATGATTTAGGCACTGCTGGTACATTTACAAAATGGATGAGCTGGAGGTGCCATCCATCAGTGTGGGAGCATTGGACTTCTAGATGACACTGAATTTGTGGATCGAGACAATAGAAAAAAAATGAGATTTTCAGCTTTCTGTAAATGACCTTCTCTGTTGCTATTCCAGGAGTGTAGCGATGTGTTTTTCCAAGCCATGACTCACTAATGAAAAATGCTGCAGACAAGTGCAAATATAAAAGGTTTGGCATTTTGACGTCACAGTTTGCGATTGCAGTGACCAATTCATCAAACATAACTAGATTGGGCTTTATAACCCAGTTAGTGCCAAATCTTTATGTGTAGACAAGTGTGTTTTTCCTGCAAAGAGATATTTTTGGTGCATCGCTAAACAGATTTCAATTAAAACTTTTAACAAATCCTGTTAATTTGGTTTTGATTTTTTTGAGGTGATAAATAACACTGTGAACAGACCTCTGTCAAATAGGGTAACACAGTTGCAGGGATTTTGCTTAGATGCATAGTAACTCATCAACGAATCAAAAAAATTGTGTACACACTCATGAGGGGCCTGTTTTTTTTTTAATGCTAGGAAAAAACATTCACTCTCAGCAAGCACTTTGCAGCTATTTATAAAACCATGCTTTCAGCCATTGAGTGAAGCTGTCCCATGCAAAACAGGTTCTTTACCACTGCTTCTATTCATTTACTTTAATGGTGATTAAGATGTCTGTAGGATGCCTTGACCATCATCTGAGACTGACTGACAAAGATCTGTCCTATTTGATGTCATTGTTCTCTATCGGCAAGTTTACCCTTAGGAGGAGGACACAGATCTGAGTCATGTGTGTGCCATGTCTCTCTCCCTATGTGACAGCGATTGACCAAAGGGGAACAAGGAAGTCATACTGTAGCATGCTGGAGATTAGTACACGTACTGAATCATCTAATGGATGATGTGCTAAGTGTGGATTTTATATACTTTATTCAAAGAGGGTCTACTGTTTGGTTAAGGAATTTACTAGTGTGTTACATGATAATGTAGTAAAGATTTTGGTTTGTTTTTGTGCAGCTCAGGTCAAAAGTGTTTGTGTTCTCAGATTTGGAGCAAAGAGACATTAAGGAGCTGCAGGCACTTCCCTATTGAGTTGCCATTAGATGTAGGCGTTTTTACTTTTTTATGTATGCTTTTCTCTACTGTTGATAAAGTCCTTGTGACAGAAGCGGGTTAACATTCGTTCGCTTGTGTGCGTATGTGTGTGTATGAGCTCACTCGGGGTGAGTGTAGCAGGGTTTAGGGCTGTAAAGGGCTGTTTTGTGAAGATGGCAAGATGACCCAGATAAGGAGGT